GAATGTCTGATGCTTTAGAGTAGGATGAAAATCAAAATCTTTAGATTGAATCAGGAAGTGGCCAAGACTCAGACCGCAGTATTTGGGTGGAGCAAAGCAGAGTAAAGTTGGATTGGAGAGGCTAAGATGAGTTGAAAAGGAAGTGCAGCACTTGGTAGTTAAAAATTTCTGTGAAGGATAAGAAAAGTTGAAAGAATAAAATAAATTATAGGGTTAAGTGGCAGTTTTTGAATTATAGTATGTGTATATGTATAGATGAACTATTTCTAAGAAGGAGGGTCAGTACAACTAAATAAAACAACCAAGAAAATGATACTGAAATACAATATTTCACACAGGTAAAATGAACGTTAAGAATGAAAAAAACCCCTGAATCTCATAAAGCTGAAGATAATCTTCATCATATAAGTCTGACATACAGATGAATACTTTTAGTACAGTAGTTGTCTTTGGAGGATTTAAAATTCGTTGAGAATGGCCACAGGATTACAAAATCTGAGTCTTTAACATATACATTTTTTTTTTTTGAGTTGGAGTCTTACTCCGTGACTGAGGCTAGAGTGCAGTGGCACACTCATGACTACCCCAGCGTCAACCTGCTGGGCTCAGGTGATCCTTCCACCTCAGCCTTCCAAGTAGCTGGAACTACAGGCATGCGCTACCACGCCTGGCTAACTTTTTATTTATTTTAGAGACGAGATCTCACCAAGTTGCCCGGACTGGTCTCTAACCCCTCTGGCTCAGACAGTCCACTCTCCTCAGCCTCCCAAAGCACTGGGATTACAGGCTGAGCCACCAAGCCCAGCCTTGACATATACTTAAATGTAAGGGTTTAGATATGCATAAAAAGAGGTTGCTAAAGGCTGAATAAATGTACTCAGTATTTTTGCAGAAAAAAGATAGGCATAATAGGAACATTTGATAGGTAAGTTTTAACATGATGTGATGCAAGGGAATTTTAAAGCATATTTTTAATTATTTATTATTTTTTGTGAGTGGGAGTCTTACTCTGTTGCCCAGGCTGGAATGCAGTGCCACGCTCACAGCCACTGCAGCCTCAACCTGCTGGGCTCAGGTGATCCTGCTTCAGCCTTCCAAGTAGCTGGAACTACAGATGTGCACCACCACGCCCGGCTAATTTTTTGATTTATTGCAGAGATGAGGTCTCGCCAAGTTGCCCAGGCTGGTCTTGAAGCTGTGGGCTTAGGCAGTCCTCTCACCTTGGCCTTTCAAAGTGCTGGGATTATAGGCATGAGCCACTGCACCCGGCCTTAAAGCATATTTATCCTATAATTGTCTTGAAAGAATGAATCAGGGATGTAAATTACAAGAACATGATGCTTATGTTGATACTAGGATGTAGGGATATGTACTTACTGAGATTATTCTTTGACGTTATAAGTTTAAAAAGATAAGTGTCTATTGAAAAGGGAAATTTAACAGAAATTTAACTGGAAAGTGTTTGAAAAATAGCTAATTGACCAACCATGGTTCTTAAACTGTAGGCATGATCGTAATCATTATGAATCTTGAAGACACATTGAACTCATGTTACTCTGAATATATGATATAAAGTAGATGGTTTTACCAGGCACTTTGTAATGCTTTATTTATATTATTTTAAATGGACATTTTCAAAATGTATAACAATGTATATTTCAGGTGCTTTATTAGAAAATTAAATTTTTTCCTTAAGATAAAATGTCTATCACTAAACAGCGGTCAAACTTTTAAGACTGGTCATAACAAAATGGGTCACATTCATGCTTTCAAATATCCAGAGTTGTCATCCCAACCCTTGTTTGCCTAAAGGATAACTTTTTATGTATGGAGGTAGTGGTATCTAGATGGTGCTTATGGTTCTTTTATTTTTAATTTTTAAAAAATTTTATTTTAGAGATACGGGATTCAATTCAGAATTAAGTACATAAGTAGTCATCGCACAGGTGAAGTTTTGGCTTTCCCTTGGTCCCTACTTTGCTCGGTTTTTTGTTTGTTTTTTTACTTTAAAAGTTTAATTTTGAAAAAGTAGAATACCTATGCGTACAAAATGCCATGTGCTTTATTATTTATTTATTTTTTTGAGTTGGAGTCTCACTCTGTCGCCCGCAGCCTCAACCTGCTGGGCTCCGATGATCCTTCCACCTCAGCCTTCCAAGTAGCTGGAATTACAGGCATGCGCTACCACGCCCGGCTGATTTTTTTATTTATTGTAGAGATGAGGTCTCGCTGCCCAGGCGGGTCTCGAACCTGTGGGCTCAGGCAATCCACTCACCTCAGCCTCCCAAAGGCGCGGGATTACAGGCTGAGCCACCGAGCCCGGCTTATTATTTTTTAAAAACTTTTTATTTTATAGATGTTGGGTACAATTCAGAATTACGTACTTAAGTGGTCAACCTACAGGTGAACTTTGGGCCTTCATTGGTCCTCACTTCGCCTGGTATCCTTATTGATGTTATGTGTAACCCCTCCTCCCCTGGCAGTGTCCCATTACTGCCAATCCCTTCCTTGTAGTATTATGATAAATGTTCAGGGTCCACTTATGAGTGAGAACATGTGGTACTTGGTGTTTACAGTTCTCAGCAGGTTGAAGAGTGAATGTATTGTTTGGGAATGAAGAAAAGTACTAATATAATAATGGTTTGGAAAAGGAGTAGAAAGACCCACTTTAAAAAATCTACTCCACCAGAGATATAAAAGTTTAAAGTTTCTTTTCTAAATCTAGGGTTTACCCTTACGCTTTTCTTGACTTCCTAAAACATAACACCTAATTATTTCTACTATGAGGAATGAGAGTTTGATTTTTGTGTGTGTTATTAGGGCAGAATGAGAGAAAATGTTTTGAAAGTGAGATCTGAGGGCTGTAAAGAGACTTGCAGTTTTGTGAAAAAAATTAAGTTATGCTTTAGACAACTTGGCACCAGAGTTAGGTTTCTTTCTAGCTTGGAGGCTCCAAATCCTAGCTTCTATTTTTGAAATTTAACTTCTCCATTTCAGTCAGGTTTCTTCCCATCCTAATGAAAATGAGTATCTCTTCAGAACACAGCCTCTTAAATGATGATGGCACGCCACATGTATATTCCCGTCTTTTAAGTTAACATCTAGCTAAAAGCCTAGAAAGACACATGAATGTAGATCCTAAAGTACTCGCTCCCTCTTGATATTTTGTAAGTTAATTATTAAATGGTAGAATAATCAGTTTGGTGAGTCACAAACTCCTTTGAACTTTGTAAAATGAAAAGCTAGATCTGAGTTGACCTACATGATTCTGAGCTGTAGCATGTCAGTCTTGGATAGGCTCATTGTGGGATTACCATTTGTGGGAACATATATACATCTGTCAAAGTTAACTTATTTATGTTACATGTTACATACTATTTCATTATACAGAAACCTGAATCTTGTTTACCTTCTGAAAAAAGATGCAGCAGTGAAAATGGTTCAGGTAGATTTTTAAACATTATAGAAGGATCTTGTGCTTTAAAGTCAGACAGACTTGGATTTCTGCCATTGGTTAGATGTGTAACAGTACAAGTTACTATGGAAACAAGCTCTGAGGAATTATCCAAAAATGGGGACATACACCTCCATATGTAAAGTGCCTATGATATCCTTATGAGATATTAATTTATAATTTTAGTACCCTTTCTGTTACACAGGACAAGTAAAATGCCTTCTAGAAAACTAATACTTAAAATGTTGTAAAATATTTAAAATAGTCACCTAAGGTAAGTAAATTACTAGATAAGATTTTTTTTTTTTTTTTTTTGAGTTGGAGTCTCACTCTGACACCCAGGCTGGAGGGCAGTGGCATGCTCACAGCCACCGCAGCCTCGACCTGCTGGGCTCAGGCGATCCTTCCGTCTCAGCCTTCTAAGTAGCTGGAGCTACATGCATGTGCCACCACGCGCGACTGGTTTTTCTTAATTTATTGTAGAGATGAGGTCTCGCCAAGTTGCCCAGACTGGTCTTGAACCTGTGGGCTCAGGCCATCCTCTCACTTCAGCCTCTCAAAGTGCTGGGATTACAGGTGTGAGTCACCACGCCCGGCCTTAAATAAGATGTTAATAAGAAAACATAAAAATGACATGTAGGACAGCTTTATTTTACAAGAAAAACTTTTGTAGTACTAATTATTAGTCGTGCCTGAGTTGGAGGAGTTTTTAATAAATTTCACATTAGATTTCCTACTGAAATTCTTTTTTACGTTGCAAGATTCTGGAGAGACTACATACTCTATTAAGAAAGACATCATCTATAATCAGAAGTAATCTGATTAGATTGAATCAAGGCTAATTATGTGAGTAAACAATTTAGGTATTTGTTTCCTACTTGAGTAGCAGCATAAACACAATGGATATTCTTGTTTAAATAACAATATAAGAAAAAAGTTATACAGCAATCAATCAGGTAATGCCACTTCCTTCTTTAAAAAAAATAGAATCTGTGCATATAACAAGACTGTACTTATACCCCCAAAGTTATTTATACTACATCATAGTTAACGTGATTTGTATAATGTAATTTGTGCGCTTTAGCTTAGCGAGTTTTCCCTACCTATATAGTAAAATGCATTTATTCAAAAAAAGAGAGGTATAGTACATTATAATTCCAGGGAGATTTTTATATTTTAAAAAAAGCCAATTTTTGACTTAAATTTGAAAGGGTCTCATTTAATACCTAAATAACAAGGAAATTCACAATCAAGGCTGAAATCTTATCTACATTCCCGTATATTTCTAGTTACGTTATTTTACATTGTTTTTTGTTTAATTTTTGAGTCAGAGTCTCACTGTTAAGCCCAGGCTGGAGTGCAGTAGTACACTCAACAGCCACCGTAGCCTGGACCTGCTGGGCTCAGGTGATCCTACGCCTCAGCCTTCCAAGCATTTGGAACCACAGGTATGCACTACTATGCCTTGCTAATTTTTTAATTTATCGTAGAGATGAGTCCTCACCAGGTTGCCCAGGCTGGTCTTGAACCTGTGGGCTCTGCCTCCCAAAATATTGGTATTACAGGCGTGAGCCATTGCGCCCAGCTACGGTTATATGTTTTAAACCATGATTAAAAAATTGAATTAGGATGTGTTGAAGGCATAACCTTATTATTTATTGGATGTTTGGTTTAATTCTCTGTAACTTCAAAACAGTATTGAGACACGAAATAATAGGATTATAAAAACAAAATTAAAACAATATAAAACTGTTAAAGACAAGAACTGAACTGAGTCCTTCAGTGTATATTTCTAAAGAACTCACATCTAATGAGCAAGTGTTCAGTATCATATAACTAGCAAATCATTATGTTATTAAAACTTGAATTTTTATTTCACTGTATCCCAATCTTTTGAATATAAGTGTTTCAGGATACTTGCGATTAAGCTATAAATTTAGATAATATCCTGACTGCATTAAAAATAAGATCTTGAAGTGAGCGCATTTCTAAATCATACTGCCATTGTGCACTGAAGTTAATTTTATGAAGACTAAAAGCTTTGTTTGTTGGAAGTCAATGGTTAGGTCTTTATATGCAATTGAGGTTCTGTTTTCCTTCTAAAAGTTTCTTTACCAATTTTTCCAAAGAGAATAGATGCTCATCTGCATCTTCTGGCACAATGTTCCTCATAGAATTTGCTAGTTCAAAAAGATATTCTGTATTTCTTCCACTTGGACCAACTGCATTAAAAATTTGTTCAGCAATGTCTTCCAGAGGTGCAGGACCAAGATAATTAGGATTATCACATGTCCCAATATATAGCAACACACTGAATGGTTTTGTTGTGGGATCTTTTGGATAAAAAATGACTGTTGTGGTTCTGTAGCCTCCTTTCTCTCTGAAGTCAAGGTATGCTTTTACTTCTTCTTCCTTTCCTGCTGGCAGTCTGTAGGCAACACCCCATACACAACCCTGTTGAAAATGAAAAGAATACACTATTTAGTATTTATAAGGCTAATTATTATTATTTTTTGAATCTGAGTATCACTCTGGTGCCCTGGCTGGAGTGCAGTGCCACACTCATGGCCACTGCAGCCTCCACCTCCTGGGCTCAGGCCATCCTTGTCTCAGCCTTCCAGGTAGCTGGAACTACAGGGGTGTGCCACCATGCCCGGCTAATTTTTTGATTTGTTGTAGAGATGAAATCTTGCCACGTTGCCTAGGCTGGTCTCGAACCCCTGTGCTCAGGCAGTTCTCTCACCTCTGCCTCCCAAAGTGCTGGGATTACAGGTATAAGTCACGCCTATAAGCCTATAAGGCTTATTAAAATAGGTGAAGATATTTTGTGATCTAACAACATATCTTATATACTATCAGAATACAGTCTTGCTTCATCTAACAACATATCTTATATACTATTAGAATACAGTCTTCAAAGTGCACAGAAGAGCACCATACTAAAGAACATTCTCAATTTAAAATTTTCATTCTGAATAAATATCTTTGCATCATTAGCACAGCAAAATATTAAACACATTGTAAATAACTTAGGTCTTTTAACAAATGGGGCTGAAATGAAAAAAGATCATGTTTTTATTTGGTCATTAAAAATTTCTATTGGATGTTGGCGTGGTGGCTCTCGTCTGTAATCCCAGCACTTGGGGAGGCCAACACAGGAAGATCACGTGAGCCTAGGTGTTCAAGATCAGTCTGGGCAACACAGAAAGACCTCGTCTCTACAAAAAATCAAAAAAATTAGCTGGGCATAGTGGCATGCACCTGTAGTCCTAGCCACTCGAGAGGCTGAGGCAGAAAGACTGCCTGAGCTCAGGAGGTCGACCATGCCACTGCACCGCAGCCTGGGTGAGAGAGTGAGCCTCCAAGTAAAAAATAAAAATAAAATAAAAAGGTATTTTGTTTCTGAATAATTATTTTTTTGAGTCATGGTCTTATTCTGTCACCGAAGCTGGAGTGCAGTGGCACAATCATGGCTCACTGCAGCCTTGCCCTCGTGGGCTCAGACGATCCTTCTACCTTAGTCTCCTGAGTGGCTGGGACTATATGCATGCATCACCACACCCAGCTATTTTTTTTTTTTTTTAATTTTTGTAGAGATGTGGTTTTGCTATGCTGTCTTAGCTGGTCTTGGACTCCTGGGGTCAAGCAGTCTTCCCGCCTCAGCCTCTTGAATATCTGAGACTACAGGCATATGCCACCACACCCAGCCACTTTTTGTATTTTTGTTGATATGAGATCTCACTATGTTGCTCAGGCTGGTCTTGAGCTCTTGGTCTCACTTGATCCTTCTACTTCAACCTCCCAAAGTGTTGGGATTATAGGTGTGAGCCACGACACCTAGCCTGCTTGATTTTTGTATATCAAACTCCTTTCTGAAGTTACATCTTTCATTTTTAAATATAAAATTTTGAACCTATCCCCCAATAAAATGATTGAACAGTTTTTTTTTTTCTTTTTTTGAGTTGGAGTCTCACTCTGTCACCCAGGCTGGAGTGCAGTGGCACGCTCATGGCCACCACAGCCTTGACCTGCTGGGCTCAGGTGATCCTTCTACCTCAACCTTCCAAGTAGCTGGAACCACAGGCATATGCCACCAGGCCCAGCTGATTTTTCTTTTTTTTTTAATTGTAGCAATGAGGTCTCGCTATGTTGCTCAGGTTGGCCTTGAACCCCTGAGCTCAGGTAATCCTCTTGCCTCTGCCTCCCAAAGTGCTGGAATTACAGGTGTGAGCCTCTGTGCCTAGCTGAAAAGTTTTTTGTTTTTTGAGTTGGAATATCACTCTGGCCACCACAGCCTCAACCTACTGGGCTCAGGTCATCCTTCCGTCTCAGCCTTCCAGTAGCTGGAACTCCAGGAGGGTGCCACCATGTCTGGCTAATTTTTTTGATTTATTGTAGAGATGAGGTCTTGCCAAGTTGCCCAAGCTGGTCTTGAACCCCTGGGCTCAGGCAATCATCTTGCCTTGGCCTCCCAGAGTGCTGGGATTACAGGCTTGAGCCACTGCGCCCAGTCCTGGAAAGTTTTAAGAAAGTGAAGATTGTCAGTTAAATAAAAGTTTTCTGGTGCTTCAAACCTACTTAGAAAACACAGGTGCTAGTGATAAAATTAGGTAATGAAAAGCGAGAATTCCTGACTTTTATTTCTGCTGAAAATATTAAACTCCTAGCAAATGTGAAGAGAGCTTCAGGGGGTCCATTTTGATTTCTAATGGTTCTATCTGGAGGCTATTTCCATTAATGTCAAAGAGGGCTCATAAAATTCTTAGTCAACAAACTTGTTAAAAACCACAAAAATGAGGCCAAGCATGGTGGCTCACACCTGTGATCTCAGCACTTCAATTGGCCGAGGCAAGATGATCACTTGATCCCAGGAATTTGAGACCACCTTGGGCAACACAGTGAGACCCTGTGTTGTCTCTATTTAAAATACATACACACACACACACACACACACACACGAGACTAGATGCGCCTTGCATCCCGCATTCTGACTTTTCCCACTGGTCTCATTTTCCATAGACAAACATGATCAAGAACACAAATACAAAGAGAAATTCTAGACCTAGTGTAGTTCAAATTGTCTAGATGATTTTTAATAAAATTTAATTGATTAAAACTAAGAAACATCTAAACATTAAACACACAAAGATTATACAAAAAAGAATAATTATACCATACCCCAGGATCTTCAACAAGAGTCACAACTCTTCCAGGCTGTTTTAAAAAAGGTTAAAAAGAATTGTTTTTCTGAATTAAAGTTCATTAAATAATCAAGCATTCATTAGCAACTTATTATTATGGAATATTTTAACTACGTTTGCTCATAAGCACTAGTTTTTAAAGCTACCTTTTTAATGATAAAGTTTAAAGTGAATTAAGTAAGAGTCCACCATATCCAAGCTACTTAGCCTTTCTAAAATTTTTCATCAGTTTGTATATATTAGGTATACAGTATTATATTCACTTAAAATGAATATGTTCAAAAACACACCAGTGACTAAGGCTCATCTAAAATGCAAGACAAATGGAAGCAGTAGTTATAAATAAAAATGCTGGTTTTCTCTTAAGATTGTTACAGTTTTATTAGGGGAAAGAATATGTTATTCCAAGGTGTTTTCCTATAGGGAAATGGCTTTCAAATTTTTGTGTAGATTAAAATTACTTGGAGGCTTGATAAAAACATTGTAGGCCAAATCTCCAGAGTTTCTATTCTATAGGTCTGGAGCTTTCTGAGAATCTGCATTTGTAACTTCCCAGGTGGTTCCAGCAAAATTGTTTTGGGGCTTATACTTTAAGCACAACTGATACCAGGGTATACTAAGAGGTCTCAAATGTGAGAGAATGAGTGATATACACTTCTGAGTTATGAAGCACTCTGACCTTTTTATATATGGCAGCAGAAGCTTTAAGGTAGGCACCCCTTTTAAAGTTCATAAATGAGCTTTACTCTGCTCTATTTCACTACTAACAATTAATATTAGAACTGGCTTATTCATATAGTTCCTCTGATATGGGACAATTACTTTGCTCTATTTCACTACTAATAATTAATATTAGAACTGGCTTACTCATATAGTTCCTCTGATATGGGACAATTAGACTACCTGTGTTCTCGGCAATTTTATGTTTCCACTTTGGTTTTAATACAGCTCAGTTAACATTATGTGGAAAGAAGCTTGACTTTTTATCATTCAGTTTGAGATTGAAACGAGATATTATTTAGCCAAAAAAAAAATTTTTTTTTTTTTTAGTTGAAGTCTCACTCTGTTACCCAGGCTGGAGTGCAGTGGCACACTCATGGCCACTGCAGTCTCGACCTGCTGGGCTCAGGTGATCCTTCTGCCTTAGCCTTCCAAGTAGCTGGAACTACAGGCATGTGTTATCACGCCCAGCTAATTTTCTGATTTATTTTAGAGATGAAGTCTTGCCAAGTTGCCCAGGCTGGTCTCGAACTCGTGAGCTCAAGCAATCCTCTCACCTCGGTCTCCCAAAGTGCTGAGATTATAGGCATGGCCACCGTGCTGGGCCCCATTTTTTCTTTTTAAAGTGACAGGGTCTTCCTCTGTTACCCAGGTTGAAATGCAGTGGTGCATAGCTTCCTGCAGCCTCAGTGGCTACAAGCTTTTCTTTATAAAATTTCTCCACATAGTGCTAGAAGCTTTGTGTCTACTGATGTGTTAATATCATGAGTGAGAATGCTGAGTTGTAAAAGTTACAATTTTATCTATTTATGTATACCCTATGTCTGGCTATAGGGAGCCTAAATACAAAAATAATTAAGATATTTGTGCCATCTTTGTTGCTATTTCCTCCCAGTCTTTAATCTGTTCTTATTAATTCATAATCATGGAACACATGGGATTTTGGATTATGAATTCTCATATAATTATATTTTTCTATTAGTCTTCTCATATATTTTAATAGTTGCATAATGTATCATTTAAACATTCCTGTGTTCTTGGACATTTAGATTTCTGGCTTATTTTCTTCTTCAGATAGTGCTACAGTTAGGAGACCTATTGTGGTGTGGGTCAAGTAGATATTGCCATATTACTTTCAATTTCAAAGTGAATTGGGAGCTAGTTTTTGAATACCTTTTCGTTCTGTGGAGAAGATATAACCTTGATTCTTGCTTCCAGTAGCTTTTACTGCAATTCTGGAGTACAAACTAACATGTGAAATAAGTAAAGAATACTTAAAGGCTAAGATAATGGTATTTATTAAGTGCAGTAAGAGTTGTGCATCTTAGGTGATGAGAACGTCTCCCATTCTGCCAAAAGGGCATGGCTCAGGATTCATAAGTCCTGTCCTAGAGGCAGGACTATACCAGGCCATGTGTCTGACTTTAGCACAGGGTCCTCATATAGGGGAGATGATTCATAAAGATGACTGGAGAAATAGGATAGAGTTGTATTTGAAAAGCCAAAGAGTAGAGTTGAAATTAGAGGACAATGGTAATAAACTGAAATCTGAGAGAAACAGGAAATAAGGAGCTATAGGTCGGGCTTGGTAGCTCAGCCTGTAATCCCAGCGCTTTGGGAGGCCGAAGTGAGTGGATTGCCTGAGCCCGCGGGTTCGAGAACTACCCGGGCAACTTGGTGAGACCTCATCTCTACAATAAATAAAAAATTAGCCGGGCGTGGTAGCGTGTGCCTGTAATTCCAGCTACTCGGAAGACTGAGGCGGAAGGATCGCTGGAGCCCAGCAGGTCGAGGCTGCGGTGGCTGGGAGCGGCCACAGCACTCCAGTCTGGGCGACAGAGTGAGACTCCAACTCAAAAAAAAAAAGAAGAAATAAGGAGCTATACAGCACTTGAGTAGCAGGTGACCAGCATGATAAAAGAAGTGTTTTGGGAAGATTAGTTTGGTAAAGTGTGTGGTACGAAAGTTAGAGTGGAAGGAGGAAGAGGCAGAATAAGAAATGTTGTGGTCTGGGTGACGTATTCTGCCCTCCCTGCACCCTACTTGCTTCCCTTTACATCCAGCCTAGTGATCGATTCTTGGTGGCTCTGTCTTTTGAGTATCTTCTGAATCTGGTTCCTCTTCATTCTACAGTGTTACCTTAGGGATTTTTCTGCCTGCCTCTAGTTTTGCCTCTCTCTAGTCTATTGTCTACTTGAGCCCAGAATAACCTTCTGGTATATAAATTGGGCCAGTCACCCTGTTGCTTTAGTTGTTTCAGGATTGTGATATTTACAGGATAAAATCAAAATTCCTTAGCATACCTTAACTACAAACCTCATTTCTTTACCCCTTTCCTCTCAAGCTGTACTGAATTATTTGACTCTTAAAAACATATCTTTTAATTTACTGGCACCTAGTGTGTAGTGCTCTTCCCCTCTTTTTTTGCCTGGGATATCACCCAGCCACGTCCTCCGTAAAATATTAACTCACTCTCCAGATGGGCTCAGCAGCTTCTTCTCCTAAACTTTTAATTCCTTTTTATTATTAGCACTTACCAAGTTTTTTGTTTGTTTGTTTCTTGAGTTAGAGTCTCACTCTGTCACCCAGGCTGAAGAGCATTGGCACACTCATGGCCACCCGAGCATCGACCTGCTGGGCTCCTACGATCCTTCCACTTCAGCCTTCCAAGTAGCCAAAACTACAAGTGTGCACTACCACACCCGGATAATTTTTTGATTTATAGTAGAGGTGAGGTCTCGCCATATTGCCCAGCTTGGTCTTGAACCCGTGGGCTCAGGCAGTCCTCTCACCTCTGCTGGAATCTTCTCACAAAGTGCTGGGATTACAAGCATCAGCCACTGTGCCCAGCTCAGTGGTAATTATTGAAAGGAAGAAGAAGGGTAGTGAAATCTGGGACTTGGGTGGTGGCAGGTGGGATAGAAGACAAATATGTAGGGAGTCATTTTAAGAGGAAGTAAATGGAATCCTGTGACTGCTATGAATGATACAGACATGGACTGTTGGCACTATGATAAATTTACTTGGAAATCTTTTCCTAAAATTTAAGCTCTTTGTCTCTAAAATAAATGTTATTGAGAAACAATGTAAATGCACTTAAATCCTTTTTTTTTTTTTTTGGCATTGAAACTGAAGAAGGGCTCTTTCAAGCTGAATGAAATTGGAAGTTGCCTTAATGGATGTTTTCATTGGGTAATGAGTAAAGTTAGGGATCTAGTAAATGTTCATGATTGTCTCTTGCATTGAAATGTTTTCTTTTTTTGAAATTATATTCTATTTGATGTGTGAAAAAAATTTCACATTTAAATAAAATTCTTATTTTAGTGAGAAACTGCCAGTTTGTGATATTGTAAGGCTGGTAATCCATTTTAATAACAAATGTGAAATGAAATTATCATGTTCTTTCCTTTTTTAAAAACAGAATATTATATGTACTTAGCAAATGTTTAGTACTTAGATTTTACTTTAATTTGCTACGATGGATTCTTTAAGTGAAAGTAACAGTAAAAATGTTGGCCAGTGAAGACTTTCCTCCCTAATTTTTCCTTCCTATATTTTAGTAAATTTAATACTGGCTTTTATAGCTCCTTTCTCCTCGTAAAGAATCATGGACTGTTTAATTGACTAGACAGTTTCTTATCAGTCTGTTCTGACAGCATTCATATCTCAATGTGTTATATAACACATTATACATTTTGGTTGAGACTAAGTAAAACATGCTGTTATAACCACATATATAAATACTCGGTAATGGGCCATTAAAATTGGAGCCTGAGCTGAGAGATTTCTCTTTGGAATGGCAATGTTAAGTGTTCACCTAAAAACTCATGGCTTGGCCAAACATGGTGGCTCACACTTGTAATTCCAGTGCTTTGAGAAGCTGAGGTGGGAGGATCGCTTCCACTAGGAATTTAAGACAAAGCTTAGGCAACATAGTGAGACCATGTCTCTTCAGAAAATAGAATAAAAATTAGCCAGAAATGGTGGCATGTGCCTATAGTTCAGGCAACATAGTGAGACCCTGTCTCTTCAGAAAATAGAATAAAAATTAGCCAGACATGGTGGCGTGTGCCTATAGTTCAGGCAACATAGTGAGACCCTGTCTCTTCAGAAAATAGAATAAAAATTAGCCAGACATGGTAGCGTGTGCCTATAGTTCTAGCTACTGGAGAGAAAGAGGCAGGAGGATCACTTGAGCCCAGGAGTTTGAAGTTACAGTGAATTATGATCAAGCCGCTGCACTTCTGCCTGGGCAACAACAGATGAGACTCTGTTTCAAAAAAAAAAAAAAAAAAAAAGACAAAAACCTCATAATGCAAAAGGCATTTTCTTTAGCTTAGTTCTTTAATGTCTTAAATATTGTTTTGTAACACTCTTGGAGATACTTTGGCCACAGTGTTTCTGTTGGCCAGTAAATGTGCATTTGCCCTAAGCTAACCCCCCTTTTTTCAAGTCTTTGTGTCCAGCATCCCAATAGTCCAGTATAGTCTACCTTAAAGCCAAGTTCTCAACTGACCAATTCTAGTTGAGATTGAATGACTTCTAACTCAGGTTCTTTTCATGATTTTAATCCTGTCTCTTTATGAGCAGGTGCAAACTACTTGAGAGCCTTGATCTCTTCCCCTTCCATGACTAGAGGTCCTTCTTTGGAATTAACCCTAATATCTTCCTGCACCTGATTTCCAGCATTTTCAATATTGGGCTTTTGGGCCACTGTTAATTTTTTTTAAAAAAGCCGTAATCATGCTCATATAAATCTTCAGAGTTTTTTTAAAGGACATAAAAGCAATAATAATTTTTGTATTCTTCCAAAAGTTAGGGAGTCAATCAAAACAAGGGTCTAAGTTATCCACATTATTAGTTATTACAGTCTTAGTTTTCTTCGCCAGTTAGCTGTTTTGCAGCCTTACAAGGCTGATTTGCTCAAGCATTATCTGCTATTAATTCTCTGTACACATATATGGAGATTAGTGTCTTCCTATGACTGACTGAAAAATGGATCAAAGAACTTACATTTCACATTTGTAATTATGAGAACCACTGAGATAGTAATATTAAAATAACGCTGGATATAGTAATGGGTTTGGTACTGTTATTCATAAAACCTTAACTTTTAAAAAGCTTTGCTAGTACCTGACAACGAAAGTGACTCCATAATAACCGGACATAATTTTGGGAACTAGTTCTTCTATGATTTTAGTTATCATAAAATGAAACCTTTGAAAGATATAAGGAAATCCTAGAAATAACGTGCAGGTTTAAACTCAAGCCAATGAAGGTCTGCTAGAATGCAGAAATGCCAACAAATTTAATTGCTTAAAAGCTGAATTTGCAAGTTGATTTTAATATTTCAACTTGGTGGTAAAACGAAAACTCATTTTCCCGCCAGTGGTTTTTTTTTGGGGGGGGAGTGCAGAGGTTGCCAAGAGCTGGGGCCCCCTGCCAGCACGGTAGCCTTGTGCAGGCACACAAGCTTGTGCCCGCGCTTCTTGCCTCCTTAAAAAACTAGCCACTAGCAAACATCTTAAGCGGGCTTTGGCTAGAGACATGGCAGGTGGCCGAGGACGATGCACAGATGTGTTACCCCCAACCCACGTGCTCGGCCCCAGGTAGCGTCCGCGAGTGGGTCCCGCGCAGGCGGGCCTGGGTTGGGGAGTGGGGGCTCCAGGGGCTGTACGTGTGGGACTGGCCGGCGCCTCACCTTGCCGGGGACCCCGCGGTGGTCCGTGCTGCCCTGCCAGAAGCGCCTGCTGTAGTTTGTGATGTAGCCGACGAGCTTGTCCTGATAGGGGAAGTCCACCTTCCAGATGAGGGACCCGTAACCAAAAACCCACATCTTTTCCCTGTTCGTCTGCCACGGCGGCGGTCGACCTTCCCCCGAGGTCTCCGCGGTGCCGCCGGGACTGCAGCCTCCGGGACGCGGCTAACCGGCTGCCGGGCGCAGGCGCGGTGGCCGCGCTGCGGCCTGGGGCGCAAAGCGCACTGGGATTGTAGTTCCAGGAAGGTTTCCGACTCAGCCTCAGTCAGCGTTTTATTTCCTTAAGTGAGGGTCAGGAGACATTGACCTTGCCTGGTAAGCGGTGGATTCTATTGCAGCCTCTGTAAATCGCCCTAACCCACCTCTGCTGCGCGTGTGCAGAGAACGACGCTACCCACAACCCTTACTGGAAACGTGTGGCTCTGGAGTTGGAGCTGGGCTTCTTTGCTATCGGCGGGGAAGGAGGCAAGGGCAAGAATCGTCCCGGGCGCTATCCACGTGCGGAGGCGCTGTTCCCGGCGCAGCGGTTAACTCGCAGGAAGGCGTTATGTTCTGCCTTGAAAATTGGGCTTCTGCCCGTACAAGAGCGGCCAGAGGAGCGCAAGCCGGGAACGTAATCCAGGCATGATTCTATATTCCAAACAAGCAAGCAAACAAACAAAAAAAACTCCTTTTTGCCTTTCAAATAAAAGCAGAAAGTTTACAACAGAGGTTTACATCTGTGAAAGAGAAGCTGTTATATCAATGGAAATTGTCTACGCATTTACATTTTAAGTGCGAAACAACCACAGAATTAGCTCACTCAGAAAAAAGCAGGCAGAGGTTCTTAACTTGAGAACTCATGCAAAGGTTTTGGAAAGGGGCTGGAAAACCTGCTGAAATTGTATGAAAATTGGGATTATGTACATTTTCTGGGGGAGAAACTATAACTTTCATGAGTTCCTCCAAGGGTCAAGGATCCTAAAAATTTTTTTAAGACATGTTGGTTAGAGCTATTGCTCTGAAATAGTCTTTAAGAAGCTTATGGACTATCATGGCTATTTTTTTTTTTTAATGTGGAAACAGAAGCCTTACTAAATGCTTGTTCTTTCTTGAGGATTTCTGTTTCATAGTCTTGGATGCTAAAACAATCAGGTTCAAAGAAAATTATAATTCGTGCTCTTAAGAAATCACTAGCCGGGCGGGGCGGCTTGTGCCTGTAGTTCCAGTTACTTGGAAGGCTGAGGTGGAAGAATCACCTGAACCCAGCAGGTCGAAGCTGTGGAGTGTGCCACTGCATTCCAGCTTGGACGTCAGAGTGAGACTCCGACATAGATAGATAGATCAGATAGATAGATAGATAGATAGATAGATAGATAGATAGATAGATAGATAGAAGGAAAGAAAGAAAGAAAGAAAGAAAGAAAGAAAGAAAGAAAGAAAGAAAGAAAGAAAGAAATCAGCAGGAAGCCGCTATAAGGAAAAACTTAGTTTAAGAATAACCAGATATTTTTATATGTTATCCAAGTTGTAGTTTTATATTGCTTGGGGGTTAATCTCCCTCACTTTTTTGAAAACCTCGAACATGCTCAAAAATTAGAAGAAAGAATATAATGATCATTCATATACCTTTCATCTAGATCCAGTAAATAGCATTTTGGCACAGTTCCTTCCTTTTTTCTCTTTATATGCTATTTTATTTAAAACATTTGAAGTAAGTTGTATGTGTAATGACATTTTACTGCTAAATACTTCTACATGTGTCTTTTAAGAATAAGGACATTCTCCTAATAACCACAATGCCATTATCACATCTAGGAAAATTAACAGTAATTACATCATCAAATATCTATTCCATGTTCAACCTACTTCAGAGTGTCACTAACAAGAAATTGTACGAGAGCCGTATATGACAGCCATACTAGACTCTGACTGCAAGGGATCTGGAAATGAGCTTTGAAGAGAGATGATGATGATGATGGTGATGAGGGCAGTAATGCTGTGAAGAACTTCCTAGTCTGGTGTAGGAAAACTGGGCTCATCTCTTTGTGGTTTTCTTTGTTGGTTTCAGTATATTCTGTCATTGGGACTGTTTCACCAAGCATAGAGAATGTGAGTGTTTATCCCCTGGAAAGGACGTGATGAGGTCTAGGAAAACTAGAAGGCCATTTATCTTTTTTCTTAGTAAATTTCCTCCACTGCTTGCTAGCCTTTTGGGGTGTAGTTGCTTCCTGTGGAGGGTTATATGTTGAGCTGAGCAGTGCTGGTAGTTAGCCTGTGCATAATAGAGAGCATATGTTTGGGACTAATTATAGGTGTTTAGCTCTCTCATCAACAGAGCACCAAAGAGTATGTTTTGTTGGGGTATGAACAGGAGCAGAAAGCCTGCTGCAAAGAGCTGTGTAGCCATTTCCAGAGAAGAAATGGTAGAACACTTAAAAGTCCCTTGATATTTTTAATAAGTACATTCCAAGGAATTCTGATTTGCCAAACAAAGACTTCCTGGTTTAAACTCCAGCAGAGGCTGTGATATGAGAGTTGCTTTTTCTACTGTGGGCTCTTCCTCGGCAGTCTTGTGGGAGATGCTAGATAGGCCCACTGTGATCTGCTAATTTCTAGGAGTGCAGTGTTGTTTCATTGACTATAATATTATCTTTCTACCTTGTTTTGTAGACTGGTCAAAATAATGGATTTTACAGAGGCTTACTCAGACACATGCTCTACGGTTGGACTTGCTGCCAGGGAAGGCAATGTTAAAGTCTTAAGGAAACTGCTCAAAAAGGGCCGAAGTGTCGATGTTGCTGATAACAGGGGATGGATGCCAATTCATGAAGCAGCTTATCACAACTCTGTAGAATGTTTGCAGATGTTAATTCATGCAGGTAAAGTCAGTGTACAGCGGCTGTGCCTACAAGCTGTATTAATAAAATATTAATAAAATTAAATATTTGAATGGGCAAACTCTTTGGGTCCCCTCTTGCTTTGGGAGCTTTCCTGTCCTCTCAATAAATCCTGCTTCCCCCCTCCAAAAAAAAAGGAAAGAAAAGAAAATAGTAATTCATGAGTTATTAACACTAGTATTGGTTTCTCTTTCTATAATCATAAAATAATAATAACGGTGGTAAGATTCCTTGCCTTGGATTATATCAGTATGGTGTTCCACCCAACATCTGTGGACATAGCTGTGCCTGGCTTCTTTTTTATCGACTGAGCTAGGTGATGTGGCAAAAGTAGTCTGCTGTTTAGAATTAAGGATTTGGTAGTCACTGGCCATGTTCATTCTTTCTTCCTTTTCTAAACAAAAGGTGGAGTGCTGCTGATATTGAGGGTGTGAGTGTTTTGTTTGAATTAGTCTTTTTTTTTCTTTGAAATACTTTTCAGTTTCCTTTTTTGGGGAACCTGTCCAATTACTTAGACTCTGTATTTGCTGAGGATACCATAGAGCATGGGGCAAGGTGCCTTCATGGGGCTTGTTCCTATCAGGGGAGACAGACAGTAAACACCTAAACAATTAAACAAGATAGTTTCCAAAGATAAGACAATTTTTTTTTTTTGAGTTGGAGTCTCACTCTGTACCCTAGACTGGAGTGTAGTGGCACACTCACGGCCACTGCAGCCTCTCGATCAGCTGGGCTCAGGCAATCCTTCTGCCTCAGCCTTCCAAGTAGCTGGAACCACAGGCACATACCACCACGCTTGGCTAACTTTTTGATTTATTGTAGAGATGAGGTCTCCCCAAGTTGCCCAGGCTGGTCTCGAACCCCTGGTCTCAGGCAGCCTTCTCATCTCTTCCTCCTAAAGTGCTGGGTTTACAAGTATGAGCCACCATACCTGGCCGATATAATATTTTTTAAAATGTTGGGGGGCTAGGCATGGTGGCTCATGACTGTAGTGTCAGTACTTTGGGAGGCTAGAGGATCACTGGAGGCCAGGAGTGTGAGACCACACTGGGCAACATGGCAATAACTCTGTCTTTTTAAAAAATTTTAAAAATTAGCCAGGTGTCATGGTGTGTGCCTATAGTCCCAGCTACCTGGGAAATAGAAGGATTGCTTGAGTCCAGGAGTTTGATGCTGCAGTGAGCCATGACAGAGACATTGCACTCCAGCCTGCATGATAGAGCAAGACCTGTCTCTAAAAAAAGTTAAGTTTTTTGGTATTGTTTGTTTGTTTTGTTTAGTTAATTACTACTCTCAGTAATACCTTCACCATTTATCTTTCTAGTATGGGCATAGAATTTTATTGCTTTGGAAACAGGTAAGAAAGTCACCTCTCGATACTATCTTTTGCTGTGGAGTTTCAAAAAGTTTAATGTAGATGTTACTTACATAATTTGAATGTTACCAGAACCTTGTTTTTTGTAACAAATAAACTCTAGAATCCTAAATTAACTAATAGGTTCTTGATAACTAGTATGTCAATGTTTGGTTTTGTCGGAGTGCATTTTATTTTATTTTTAGAAGTGTAGTCTTCACTAACTAGTCTTAAGTTAAAAAGGAGTATTTAAAATTGCCTCATGCTGTTAGTTGAGTACAAGGAGGTAATAATGCTAGAGATAAGACCATTTCCCTAATGGAAATTTAGAAATAAATCAAATTTATTAATATTTCAACAAATCGTGCTTACGCAAATCTTTGGTGCTGCATCCTCTTCAGGTCTTGCTTTTGTGTTACTTTTCAACTCCTGCCACTCCTCTTCTCTCACCCACCAAAAATTAGAGAAGAGAAAATGAAGTGGGCTAAATTTGTATACTAAGAATACCAAAGAGTTGTTCACACTGAGATCACTGGAGACCTTTTTCTTGATTTCCTGGAGGGTTTTAAACTGTGAGACCTCTCATGTATAAGTTACTTATATTTTAGTATTTTATTAAGTTCCTCTTGAAATCTATGCTTTTTTAATCTCAAGAAATAGAAGTGATATCCTCTAGTTGATGAGTTTTTATTCTCCCGTAGATTCATCTGAAAACTACATTAAGACAAAGACTTTTGAAGGTTTCTGTGCATTACATCTTGCTGCGAGTCAAGGACACTGGAAAATTGTACAGATTCTTTTAGAAACTGGGGCAGATCCTAATGCAACTACTTTAGAAGAAACCACACCATTGTTTTTAGGTATGTATGTTGTTTGTAGTACAGATGAAATTTTAAAAAATTATTTGTTTTTGTTAAACTAATTAAAATCAAATTGTTAATTTTTCTCTGAGCTGTTGTACTTGCAGTATGTTCTTTGGCAAATATTATACCACCATTTCTTTCATTTTGAAGCTGAGAAGGTATTTCTAAAATTTTTGTTCTTGTTTTCTGCTCTTCATTTGTAACATTTGGGACTTTATATGTTATTTAAAGTTACAAAATGTGTTCTGAACTGTAGTAGCCATCACTTTTGTTCTCAGTGTAGACCCGGTATTACTTAAATTGTAGCAATTGTTACAAGGTTACCTGTCAACATTTTATGTTTGCTTTTTTTCTTCTTCTTAGCATTAAGAAATTAAGAAGCTTTTATGGAAGAAATCACCAGCTAATCCTTTATTGCCAGTTAATTTGTTGCCTATATGGATCACTATTCAGACCTTTTTAATTAAAGACACTTTCTTAATTCCATAAGAACAACAGCCAAATTCTAAATAGCTTACTTCCAATGATTGGCTTTTTTTTCCCCAATGATTCTTCTTTTTCTCCCTTCTTCCCTTCGATCCTGTTTGTCTACAGAGGTATTTTGTGTCTCATAAAGTTTAGTGTAACATGAGAAAATTAAGAGACTAAAGCGCTTAGAATAGAATCAATGTATCTGGACTATGGTTTTAGTCCTGCCACATGTAATTTGTATATTTATTTTTTTAAACTGTATATTTCAGTTCCTCAATAAAAAGAGTAATAGTACCTACTGAGTCTTTATTATTGGACTGAGAATAAAATGAGATATTTGTGCAAGTACTTTTTTCCTTGTGAACTTAAAAATATTTATTTTTAAAATTTGCACAGTGAAATTCATTCTTTTCAGTATACAGTTCTGTGAGTTTTGATGTATTCATAAAATTCTGTAATGACAACAATCAAGATACAGAACCATTCTATCACTCCTCAAAATTTCATCATGCTGCCTGTCTTTAAGTGACCTTCTCCTCTCCCTACAAGTCCATTCCAGACAGCCACTGATCTCTTCTCATCCCTGTAGTTTTCTTTTTGTGGAGTATTATATATGTATGGAATAATGTATTCGATGTTATCTTTGAGATAGCTTCTTTTACCTAGCATAAGGCTTTTGAACTCCATCCACATTGTGCGTGTATCAGTAACCTATTTCTTTTCTGAGAAATATTTTGTTACAAAAATGTAACACAATCCATTCACCTATTGAAGGACATTTGAATTGTTTTTGGCGTCTGGTAATTATAAATAAATCTGCTATAAACATTTACATACAGATTTTGTGTGAACATAAGTTTTCATTTCTTTTGAGTTAATATTTAGGATTGCTATGACTTATGGTAAATGTATGCTTAACTTTGGAAAACAAATTGGAAGATTCCATCAGTTTGCATGTCTTTCAGTAATGCTTGAGTATCAGTTGCCCTGCCTCCTTGCCAGCACTTGGTGTTGCCAGATTTTTCTTTTTCTCTTTTATGTTTTAGTCATTCTAATATGGGTTTAGTGGTATCTCATTGTGATTTTAATTTGCATAAATGGAGCATCTTTTCATATGATTATTTTCCATCTCTCTGTTTTTCCTCATTACCTTTGTGTTTAAAGACTTTGCAATAATTTCAGACTTATGGAAATATTTAATAACAGTATAAATAATAATTATATATCTTTCCACTCAGCTTTTGTTCCTTTGCCATGTTTGATCGTTTAATTTCTTTCTTTCTTTTTTTTTTGAGTTGGAGTCTCTCTCTTGCCCAGACTGGAGTGCAGTGGCTGCTCCTGGCCACCGCAGCCTCGACCTGCTGGGCTCTGGCGATCCTTCCGCCTCAGCCTTCCAAGTAGCTGGAACTACAGGTGCGCGCTATCACACCTTGCTAATTTTTGATTTATTGTAGAGATGAGGTCTCGCCAAGTTGCCCGGGCGGGTCTTGAACCCTCGGGCTCAGGCAATCCACTCACCTCAGCCTCCCAAAGGCGCGGGATTACAGGCTAAGCTACCGAGCCCGGCCTCTTTCTTTATATTTATCCATATTTTTTTCCTGAACCCCTTGAGATTAAGTTGTAAGGAAAGCTCCTTTAACTCTATGTCAATGTGAACCCCTAAAAGCAATAAAATTCTCTTATGTAATTACTATACGATGATCAAAATCAGGAAGTTAACATTATTTTAATCTACAATCCTTATTTAAGTTTTCCAATTGTTCCATTAATGTCTTTATTCTTTTTTGGTCAAGAGTCTCCATTGCCTAGGCTGAAGTTTAGTGACACGGTTACAGTCATTACAGCCTCAGCCTGACTTAGGCTATCCTTCCGCCTCAGCCTTCCATGTAGCTGGAACTACAGGCCCTTGCCACCAAGCCTGGCCAATATTTTTAAAAATAATTTATTGTAGGCTGGGCTTGGTGACTCAGCCTGTAATCCCAGCACTTTGGGAGGCCGAGGTGTGTGGATTGCCTGGGTCTGCGGGTTCGAGACCAACCAACCTGGGCTCCTTGGCGAGACCTTGTCTCTATAATAAATCACAAATTAGCCAGGCACGGTAGTGCATGCCTGTAGTTTCGGCTACTTGGAAGACCAAGGCAGAAGGATCACCGGGGCCCGGCAGGTCGACACTGAGGTGGCTGTGAGCATGCTACTGCACTCCAACCTGGGTGACGGAGTGAGATTCCAACTAAAAAAAAAAAATTTATTGCAGAGATGACGTTTCACCATGTTGCGCAGGCTGGTCTCAAACACCTGGGCTCAGGCAATCCTGTCCCCTCAGCTTCCCTAAGTGCTGAGCTTACAGGTGTGAGCCACCATGCCTGTTTCCACCAATGTCTTTTATAAGAAAAGAAAAAAAATTGTTGGTCCAGGATCACTTGTTACATTTAGTTGTCATGTCTCTTTAGCCTTCTTTAATTTGAAACAGTTTTTCAATGTTTTATGATTTTAGCATTCTTGAAGAATTCAGGTCATTTATTTTATAGAATATTCTTAAATTTGGGTTTGTCTGATGTTTCTTCTTGATGAGGTTCAGGATGTGCATTTCTGGCAGGAATACTGCAGAAGTGATGTGGTATCTTAGCTCATCTTATCAAGAAGAATATTACTCACTACGAATAATGTTAATTTATGAAAGCACTTTAAATAAGTGAAAAGTGTCATTATATAGATGTTTCATGGAAGTTTTGGTGTAGTAATATGGTTTGGGTTTCCAAGAGAGGTCATTTTTTAAAATATTGTTTCTTTTTGTCCCCTGTATCCATATAAAACCCACTTAGGATATTCTGTACAACAACAGAGTAAGCATTTATTGAGGTCCAACTACATGTAGTCATTCTTTTCTAATTGCTACCTTCAAGGAATCTTCTATATAGACAAGTAAAAAAAGTGAATTTAGAAGTTCAAGATTTTGAAAGAGGGGAAAACAAGTCACCCTTTCAGAGGAAGATTTCATGTGCAAAGTATTGTATTGATAGTAACAATAAGTCAGACATAGTGATGTGTGCCTGTAATCCCAGCTACTTGGGAGGCAGAGGCAGGAGAATCGCTTGAGGCCAGGAGGTTGAAACTAGCCTGAGCAACATAGTGTGACCCTGGCTCAAAAAAATTTTTTTAGGCTGGGCATGGTGGCTCACGCCTATAATTCCAGCACTTTGGGAGACTGAGGTGAGAGGATTGCGTGAGCCCATGTGTTCGAAACCAACCTGGGCAACTTGTTGAGATCTTGCGTCTACAATAAGTAAAAAAAAAATTAGCTGAGTTTGGTGGTGCACATCTGTAGTCTCAGCTACTTGGAAGGCTGAAGTGGAAGGATCACCTGAGCCCAGCAGGTTAAGGCTATAGTGGCTTTGAGCGTGCCACTGTGTAGTCCAGCCTAGGCGACAGAGTGAGACTTTGACTCCAAAAAAAAAAAATTCTTTTAAAATTAGCTGGGTGTGATGTGTGCCTGTAATCCCAGCTACTTGGGAGGCTGATATGGGAGGACTGCTTGAGGTCAGGAGTTTGAGACCACCCTGAGTAATATAGTGAGGCCCTGACTCTAAAAAACATTAAAAAGATTAGCTGGGTGTGGTGGTGTTATGCATGTAGTCCCATCTACTTGGGATCACTTGAGCCCAGGAATTCGAAACTGCAGTTAGCTGTGATCGTGCCACTGCACTCCATCCTGAGTGACAGAGCAGGACCCTGTCTCTAAAAATAAATAAATGAAAAGGAAAAATAATCATAATTCAGCAGAATGTCTCTAAAAATAAGTAAATAAAAAGTAAAAATAATCTTAATTGAGCAGAATGTATACCAAGCCCTGTGTGGGACTACATTTGAATTTCATATGAATTAGATTATTTAATTTTCACTACAACTCTGTAAGATGTTTACTATTATTATTCCTACTATTACAGATGAAGAAACTATTCAAAGCCTTGATTCAAGAATAGAGAAGCTATATTTGAATTTTGAGTTTGCTATTTTCTGTGTTTTGGGTAGAATAGCCTTTCTTGAACTGATTCAGTGAACTATTAAACAGATGTTCCCGAATCACGCATATTTGGGAAACACTATGTGCTATGTTCCCCAATGTAGAAAAGCATGAAAAACTTTATCCAATGTAGCTTACTGTGTCTGCCTAGTGTGAAATATCTGTTGTCCTCTTTACATTATTCTGTTTTAGGTCTTCATGGCTCTTGTAACTGATTGCAGTTATTTTATTTGCTCTGTTGTTTATTGACTATCCCCTTCATTAGAAAGAATGTTCCAACAGAGCAGGAATTTTATTTATCTTGTTCATTGTAACTTCGTAGGCCAGATCGGTGCCTGGTATATGGTAGGCATTCAGTAAGTTATTTGCTGAATAAAAGAATGAAAATTTCTGAGAAGACCTCTCCCTAAACATTTGTTTAACCCAGCACTTTGAAAATATTTGACAATAGTGTTATTTTTTCTTTATGGAACATTTAGGAATACTTCAAGGAGCATTAACATCC